CCTTCCCAGCCTCACACACCTTCCCAGCCTCACACACCTTCCCCAGCCTCACACACCTTCCCAGCCTCACACACCTTCCCAGCCTCACACACCTTCCTCAGCCTCACACACCTTCCCAGCCTCACACACCTTACTCAGCCTCACACACCTTCCCCGGGCTCACACACCTTCCCCAGCCTCACACACCTTCTTCCTCAGCCTCACACACCTTCTTCCTCAGCCTCACACACCTTCCCCAACCTCACACACCTTCCCAGGCTCACACACCTTCCCAGGCTCACACACCGGCGCGGGCTGTTCCAAGTCTCCGGTGCCGGGCAGGGGAAGAGCGGGGCTCAGGCTCCCCCAGGGCTGCCCCTCAGCCCCGGGGCACTCCCATGCTGCCCGGGGCTCAGCCCTGCCGGCTCCCCGCCCTGCAAACCCCGCTGCCTTCAGCCGCCGCAGCCGAGGGAAGGGCTGGAATTTCACGCCTCCAGCCCGGCGCACCCCATGGATTTGATTCAGCCCTTGGCTGCTGGAGCAGCTCAGGTCAGCGCTGCTCTCCCGTCTCTAGTTCAAAGTGCATTAGTGACCCGTGAAAACGCCGCTTTCCTCTCCAAACCCGCTGGTCCAGGGCTCACTCAGGGCTGCGAGCCGAGTAAAGCCGGCTCACACCTCCCTCACTCACTGCGAGGGGGGGCAGAGAACCACGGACCCCAGAAACAGCCCCAGACATCGCCCCAGCTGTGGGGAAAGGATTTGAGTGTTCCTCGTGTGTCAGGAGGGAGAGCATGCAGGTTGGGAAATTAATTACACAAATGCAATCAGCCGGGGGCATTACAAACACAGACAGGAAGAAAATCATAGCTACTCTTAATTTGCTTTAAGGGCACAGGGAAGTGCAGGAACCTGAACTGCTGGAGGAAGGGCCAGGCTGCTCCCTGGAAAGATTTCCACAGCTCCTCTGGTGGGTCACCCACACATAAAGGTGCAGAGCACGAGTCCTGTTCACATGAGAGAATTCCAGCAGCTCTGAGGAAGGCATGGATTCCATAGGAAGGACTTTCTGCTTGGTTTCGGACTCTTCTGGAGTAGGGAAAAATGTTTTCTGTCCCCAGATGTAACCCTGGCATTGCACAGGGTCAGAGGAAGGCAGTAGATGAGCTGGATTAAGAGGATATGGTCCTATCAGCATTTCTTACCATTTCCCAGCCACAGATTATCCCCTCTGTAACACATCTGAGGAAAAGGATTGTCTGAGTCTCTCTCTAGCTTTAGTGCAAAACTGGAGGAGCTGGCTGAAGTCACTGAGGGATTCAGTGCTAAGCAGCCAGACTTTGCACTGGAACAGCTCAGGAGCACTCCACATTCCCAGGATTGTAGCAACAGCTACCCAGGGCTGCAGGACAGAACTACATCTCTCTACTTCTGGGGAGAGATGTTTGCAAAAACTGTCATAAACAAAACTTCCATCAAAAAAACCCTCTTGAACCACAAAAGGTTTATTGCTTAATCAAGAACACATTTAAGGCAATAGTAATGATTCCACAGGTGCTTTTGAAATCATTAGTCACAATTCATGAAGGAGAAACAATAATACAATGAGTTGTCTCACCGTGTACACCAAAGGGCAAAGTCAGGAGCAGAACCCACTCCTGGTCACTGATGCCACTGTTCTGCTCCTGCCTGCACCTCACTGGTGGGCACAGCTGCCTGGCCCTCAGCACTCATAGGGATACACCTCCCAGGAGTTCAAAAGGCAGCTTTAGTGTGCAATTCAATGTAGGAGTGTGGTTACACGTGCAGAGGGTGTCTGTGCCGTGGGCCCAGGGCTGCTGTGGTGGGAGCAGCTTGTTTGGGGCTGTGGCCGTTTGATCAGCTCCACTGCACAAACACAAACAGCAAATTGTGGGACAGGCGTCCTACTGCAGGGCCAAACAAACACGATGAGACAGAAAATGGCTGAAGGGATAATTTTCTGAAATACTCTCTGACAAAGAATCCTTTTCTTTGCCTGCCCAGCCTCAGAATTGCTCACAGAATCAGCAGCTTGGCTCAGAAGGGCAGGTTAATGTTTAATACAATGCAGAGCCCACAGGCTTCCAATAGGTAAGTCATTTAGAGGTTTTTTTTTCCTCCCCCTGCTCTTTCATAAGTAAGTCAGTGAGGGAATTTACTGTTGCTGAAAGTGAGGGATTTGGAGTGCTGCTCAGCCTGGCTGCAGCCCTGGCAGGAACTGTGTGAGCTGCACACATCCAGCCCTGGCACCCAACACCCATCCTGCCCCAGCCCCGAACATCCCCCTGCCAAACACCCCCAGCCTGGCACTGGCCGAGGCTCAGGGCTGGCCACCCTCCAGAGCTGGGCTGTGTCCCCAGCTCGGGGTGCCCAGCCCCACACACACACACTGACCTTTGGAGGGATGAGCCAGGGCAGGCTGCTCTGAGCCCAGCAGCACCTGCAGCCCCTGGTGCTGCAAATGTTGCACCTCCTGCAGCAGCTGCAGAGCCTGGCCCAGCTGTGGTGCCCTCAGCAGCTGGTTCTTTCTGCAGCACGTGTGTTAGAGTTGTTGCAGGCAGGAAAAGCATTGGCTGGGATGCCTTGGAGTGGCTACCTAGAAGAGAGGCTAGAAAAGTATTTATTAAAAGTAGTTGTTATTATTATTATCATTATTATTAATTTATTTGTTAAATTTATATGTATTAAACTGATCAGATTTATTTAATATTTATTCAATTTAAAAATCTATTATATTTAATTAATTAATCAATTAATTAATATTTATTAAAGGCCTTCAACAGATACACCTTGGGCAGTCAAAGCTTCCCAGAGGCTGCACCCAAGCTGGATGAGGGTCATGAGTTTTTCAGGCAGAAATAAGTTTGCTCCATTTACATATCAGGGATTAATTCTCCAATTCCAGCTTCAGGTAATGAAGTCATACTCCCCCAGTTTGAGCACCCCCCCAATTCACTTTTGTTTGTACTTTTCAGGGCCTGAGGCTGTGGTGTGTCCTTGGATCTCAGGCCCAGAGGGATTGTTTTGTCTGACCAAAATGTGAGGACAGCAGCTGACACTCTGTATGGGGTTCAGAGTTATGCACTAACGCAGTGCAGGATCTGAAAAATAGAAAAGCTAAAATCCTAAGGCATCAGCTGCGAGGGGTCTGTGCTGTCTCTCCCCCAGCATCTTCCTCCAGGGAACCACGTTCCCCAGCATGTGGGGGTCCTGCTGGCAGAAACACAATCTCCCAAACTAAACACAGCAGTGATCAGAGCAGGGAGAGACAAGCACGGCCAGCTCCACACCATGGGCTGAGGCCGGCAGCCAGAGGCCCAGGAAAGGGTCAGAGGGAGAGACAGGACAGCAGAGGCAGCAGCACCCAGAAATGCACACTGGAGTGAGGAGGAAAGGGTACAAGTGAGGAAAGGATGAGCCCCATGGAAAAAAAAACTGATTACAAGGACTCACACAAATGTCCTGAGACATTTGGGAATGCTGGGCTGTGTCACTGCCTCTCTGACTGACTCATTCAGCCTCTCTGAGCAAGCTTCTCTCGCAAAAGAGGAGGAGGATGGAGTTTTCCCAGAAGAATGTGTGGTCAGGCTCAGGGTTCCTGGTGTTCCAAGGCATTGACTGGTGGGCACAAGTGGCTGTCATGGAGAGAACAGAACTCCCTGTGTGTCCAACAACAAGGAGAAGCAGGAATTTACACTGCAAAGACCTGTCCATGTGCAGCAGAGCAGACTGAGCTTGGGGAACAGCATCTCCGACTGGTGCAGGGGTGGAACCTCAGGTGTCAGGACTATGAATCCCCCCCCCATGTCCCTCTGTGGCTCTGATTGTTTTACAAATGATCCTCCAAGCTCTTTTCTTGACCAGTCACTCTTTTGTGGCTGTGATGATGGAGAGGAGACTCAGAGGACTTTTCCACCCAGGGCCCAGTGCTGGCAGGCAGCTGCCAAATTGAGCAGGAGGGAAATGGTGACACTGCACCCTGGCCTGGGGATCCCTGCAAAACCCAGCGTGGAGAGCCCCTGGATTCAAGGGAAATGAAGCAAGAGTCGAGACCTTGTGGGGTTAAGGTTAAGACAGGGCTGCCCTGGCAGGTACCAAGGAGGGCTTTGGCCACTGCTGCACGTGCAGTGGGACCTGACTCACCCCAGAATCCAAAAGCTGGGATTCACTAAGCCAGAAGGAAGGGCCAGGAGTTCAGTCACCCCACTGGACCTGCTCACTTCCACTGGGGGAGCTCAGACTGGCTGCTGGTGGCACAGCTCAGCCCGTGCTCCTTTGCAGGGCACAATTCCCACTGTCCGTGCCCAATTCCCGGTGCTGATGCCCAGGACAGCAAGATGCCTGTGAGAAAGGACAAAAGCCTGGCAACCAGCACTGGACACTGGCAGCACCTGCCCTTCTCCCTGCCACCTTCTTGGGGAAATGAAACTCTTAAGGCACCTCTGATGGCTCTCCCTTTCCCCTGAGGCCTTAGCAGAGCATTCACTCACACAATGCACCTCTTGTGCCAGTCAGTTAATCCATACAGTGCACTGCTTACTTACATTCATTACCCTCATTTAGTTATTAAAAAAAAGCAAACACATATTTTCATTTTTAACAGCTCTGAGAAAGGGGTTATCCAAACTGGGATTAAAACTCTGGGCTGTCTAACTCGTTACTGCCTAACTTTTTAGCTGCAGGAATGTTGGCTGCTCCAAGCTCAGTGGAGCCTTATGAAAACATACCTGCCCAGATCTTGGAGAGGGAGATAGGAATCAGCTCGATGATCAAAGTCCCTGATAGCATTCCTGGATCATACAGGCTGTTCATGCAGAGCTCTGCAGGACTGATTGGCAGTGACCTGGAACTGCTTTCTGCAGCACTTGGGGATAATTCAGTGGAATTCACATCCAAAAATCCTCCAAGCCCTGACTTCATCTGGAGGCACATAGGAATCATGTGATGCAGCAGCCTGATTCTCAAGCTTGCAAGTAGGAAATCAGGGGTAGGTTTATTGGTGTGCAGTTGGGGTGACCTGTTATTGATGAGCACCAAACCCACTGAACCATGGAGATAGGGTGATGGGATGTGTGTGGGAGCAGCTCAGGTCCACATGGATGTGGAATAATCTCCTACTGGAAATCATGGCTGAGATCTCAGCTAAATCTGTGTAATTTAGCATGTGAACACACCTATTTCCCTGTCCTCAGTGTCACTGGGGACAGTATGGCCACCTGTAAGTCCCTGTGTCCCCAGATGTCTGTGCAAACCTGACTGCCAAACCCAGGATGGCTAAACACAAACAACAGCAATGGCACAAGCCACCAGCACTGTTAAACTCACCATAGTCCAGTCCTGAATCACATTTCCTTGCCACTGGGCAGGATTTCATGCAGCTCTCTGCCCTTCTTCCTCCACAGTAGGAAAACACAGATGTTCAGCCTGTCAGCATCAATCCACAATGCTCAGATGCAGGAGGCCAGGCAGCTGTGGTGACCTAAAGCCTCATCACTCTCTCTCTCTGTGCTTTTTCCAGAGGTTGATTCATTTGCTTAGGACACAGCACAGCCAGGCCCTCTGTGGTCTTAACTGCATATGGTTAAGAGGTAAATAATTTAGCTGTGTGTTTCCTTTTTCCCCTGTGATTCCATCTGACAAGGAAGCACCAAAAACCCCACAGCACTAAAGGATCATCCTGTATGATCTGGTGAGGCTGCTCCTGTTGGGGTGATGGTTATGGTAAGGAAGCAAATAACTTAATGAAGCAATTACTTGTATCAAATCAGCAGATTTTGTTCTTTTCTTCTGCCTTAATTATGAGGAACCAGGAAGAATGTCCAATTACTCAGGGCAGAATTTCATTACCAAACAAGATAGCATCTGCTCAACCACAAGGTACATCAGATGGCCATTTTCATAGATTGCTTAGGCAAGAGAATGCTCCAACCTGAAATTAAAGTTGAAGAGGGCATTAACAGACAAGAAAATAAAAATTAAAGGCAGTAGTCAATGCCCATTCAATAGAAGGAAAATCCCTGAATATAAGGGAAGTCTGAATGAAAGGTCATAAGTGTTTTCCATTTTCAATAGCTCCAGTTTCTGAAAACAAAACACTTCAAGGTGGCTCATGAGCTGACCCACATGAATACATCCCCCACCCCCCTCCAAGAATCATTGTAAAATCCCTGAGCTGCTTTCAGAACTGCCAGCTAAGCATTTCAGAATCTAACTGCAAGTTTAAAAAACAAAAGCAGGTCAAAGTCAAACTCTCAAGCCTCTCACAGCTTAATCCATTTTTCACAAATAAAGAACCCTGGTTTATGGCTTTTATGGTCTGAGTTTGAGTTGAAACTATGGGACTTAAGCAACAACCTCAGCTTTGTGTCAGTCACATCCTTCCCAAGTGGTACAGAAGGGATCTGGATCTTACTTGCCACCAAGTGAAAGGATCCCTAATTTTCACCCAGCATCACACCTAACCCAGGGCAGGGCCTTTCCCCAGGGCATTTTCACAAGTGCCATTTAGAGAAGTGAATATGCACCCCTAGGGAGGGGGGAGAAGGGAGCAGAGACACAGTGAAAAGCCAGGCTTGCTGCTCTGGGCGAGGCAGAGGGACCACACAGCAGCTCTCCTGACCTCCTCAGCAGCACCAACCAGCCTGGCTGCAGGCTGAGCCCGTGCCAACAAGCCAGGCACGACTGTTTGTTTGCTCCTGTGCCTGTGTAGAGACATCCCTGGCTAGGCAGGGAATGGCACAGCCGTGCTGCGAGCTCTGCTTAACCGTGCCTGCTGTGATTTCCAAACCCAGCCCTGGGTGCAGCTCCCAGCCCTGTGAGAGTGATTCAGAGCATATTCCTACCTGCATGACCTTACACGTTTGCCTGCCTTCAAGGCACGAGGTGCCCCTTCCCCTGACAGCTCCTGAGGGAAAAGCAGCCCCAAATTCACAGGGGGCTCTGCCTCGTCTCTCGCAGGGAAAACACTGGACTGGAGCCATGGGGCCTGCTAGAACTGGGAAAGGGGAGCAAGGAACTGGAAAACAGAATCAACAATTAAAGAGCCCACTGAAAACGTGGATAAAGGAAAACCACTGAAGGATCAACCAGAGTCTGCCTACAATCACTAGCAAAGCAATTACAGAATTAGGGATGATTTATAACAGACTGAGGGGCTGGATACTTGGCACGTGCTATGGAAAAGCTGTAAGGAGGGAATTCTGTGTGCTGGCACCGGGCTCAGGAGCCACAAGTGATGCAGCCTCAGCAGTTCTGTCCTTTACAGAACAAACTGAGCAGCATTTGGATGTCTTTTCTTATAGCTCTCAGCTTCCAGCTATAATTTGGTCCAGCTATCGATTCCAAGTTTTAAAAAACAAAACAAACAAAATTTAGTTATGCAGAAGGTTGAAAAAATACGAGGCATTATTAATAATAGCCACTGTTTCCTCAGTGCTGTAACACAGAGCAGCTTCCAGCCAGCACTGGCAGCTTTTTGGGAGGAAATTACCATTGTCCAACTTTACAGGTGGGGAAATTGAGACACAAAAGGGCTACAGAAAGCCCTTTTTAGCCCAGCTAAAGGGCTAAGTGTTTAGCCCAGCTTTAGAGTTCTAGTCCTGGACTTTTTATTATACATAAAACTCTGAATATTCCTGGAAACTGGGGCAGGTTGATCTGCGATATACTGTCACCCAGCATCAGCCTTCACTTGTGTCTCTGCCTTGCTTGCTAAGGACATAATTCCACTGTTTTTTCTCTCTTCTTGCACTGGCACAGCTTCATTTCTCATTGCTCTTGATCTTCCATCTATGTCATTTACTCCAGAATTTCAAAGGATGATTTTGCCATCAACCAACAGCAGCTAAAATACCTGTCCAAGATTTAGGAGAGTGGAGAAACGAAACCCAAACTCACTTCTAATCAGCTCACACATGAAAAACAAGCCCCAAGCTGAGAAATCCAAGACTTCCAAATTAGCTGGGTGCAAATTCCTGTGGAAAGCTCCAGAAAGCTCCGGGGGATTCTCCCACTGACAATGAAAGGAGAAAATCTAAAAGACAGAGGAGTTGCAACAGGCAGTGGCTTTAAGGGTAAAAATCAGCTTTTTTTGAAGCTCTGCTGTGCCAGTGAGGACACAGCCAGGGCTGCCCTCACAGCCAGCTCCAAGTGATCAATCACCCTGAATCATCCCTTGAGAGAGGAGCAGGGAGGTGATTTAAACACTGAAACATGCCTGCTGCTGTTCAGCAGGTACCTGCATGACTGGTCTGACATACCCACCCCACAGGGGCTTCAGGCTGCAGGAACACATCTCAAATCTCAGATCCTGCCCACACCCTCTGAGCCCCCACAGGGGACAACCCCGGCCTTGCTACTGGAGAAGCACCTTAGAGCCTGAATATGTATTTTCATCTTCTGTGTTTCTTTAAAATATCCACAGCTTTACAAACTGTGGGGGTTTTTTTGTGCTGACAGGCCCTGTAAGGCAGCACCAGAGATGAGGAGAGAAAACACAGCCACACAAAACAGCAAAGCTGCCTCTCTCCTCACTGAGGGACAAGCACAGCATTAAGGGCAAGTGAGCAAACAGAGCTGGAGTTTGAGTCCAGTTCTTTACAAACTGGCAGGGACTACAAAATGATGCAGGGAAAACAGTGCCCAAGAACAACAGAGGGCCGTGGTGTCAGCCCAAGACAAGCCGAGCAGCATCAGAGGCTGCTGCCAGTGCTTTTGGGGGCTGTGAGGAGTCAGCTGGGGCTCAGGCTGGGGCATGAATGGTTTCCCAACAGAAATGATTCAGAGTCTGGAGCGGTTTCAGGAGGAGCTGGCTGGTGCCAGGAGCTTTGTGAATGTAGCAGCAAGGAATGCTTCCTCCCTCCTCATCCCCCGGCCTCCCGGCTGCTCCCGGGCCCAGGCCGCGCAGAACCACTCGGAAAAAGAGGGTTGTGATCCAGAAACCCCAGGGGGATCTGGCCTCCATTCCCACTCGGGCTGCGAAGGGAAGCTCCACGGAGTAGCTGCATACACACTCACCTGCTGGGAGGGTCGAGGCTCCAAAAATCCCTCACCTCACCCGTGGCCAAAGGCAAACAGCTCTGCCCCGAGGAGAGGGAAAACAGCAACTACAGAAGGGGCCTAGTGCAAAAGCCTTCGCACTCAGGTTGCTGTTCCTGCCTTGCCCTCTCTGATGGATTCATTTACATTCAGGTGGTTGTTCCTGCCTTGCCCTCTGATGGATTGATTTGCACTCAGGTTGTTGTTCCTGCCTTGCCCTCTGATGGATTCATTTACATTCAGGTTGTTGTTTCTGCCTTGCCCTCCCCTGGCTCGGGTGCTGTCCCACTGCCACAGCCCCTGCTGCATGTTGTAGTGATTGTCTGAGGGCTTTAGCTCGGGTGCTGTCCCACTGCCACAGCCCCTGCTGCATGTTGTAGTGATTGTCTGAGGGCTTTAACCCATTGAACTCTGCAGCCAGCATCACAGGCAGCTCCTTTTCCAGTGAGGCCCTTGTGTGTCCTCAAGTCAGCCACAAACATCATCTTTTTGCCATTCCTTTTCCTTCCCTCTAAAACTGAAATTAGAGAAAGTAACTAGAGGTGCATCCACCTGGCCATGGCTTTCAGCCATCAAATCTGAACAGGGTACATCAGAATTCTGAGGATAAATGCCTGTAAACACTGTCTTGGAGAGGAGAAAAGCAGTAACAGTTGAACTAAACCTCTCTGAGATGCAGCTTCAGGAGAGTGTTAGGGCAAAAATACCTCACATTTCAATATTTGCTCACTGATCTGAGCACTGGTGGATTCAGCTCTCCTACTTCCCACTTCAGGCACCTCATGAGTAGCAAAAAAATGAATGGATGCATTAGGTAAATAATTCTTCCTGAAGCATTCAGCAGATTCTGACCTCTCCAGGACATCTCCCCAGCCATCTGCAGGACCAAACCCTTCAAGTCTCAGTTGTACAGCTTGGTCTTCGTGGCCATAGGAGTTTTCCCAAGGAGTCAGACCCAAGGTTGTTCACTTTGACACAAAATACAGTCTTTTTTGCAGAGATTTTAGCAGTCACCAGGTGGAGCTGTTCCCGATTGTATTTCCTTTTCTGGGGGCTTTTCTATCACGCAGAGCTGTGGGGAGCACAGCCAGCAGTCCCCCTGTCTTTGGGGAGGCCGAGCATAAATCAGTCTGATCGCTGTCTGAACACAGCCGTTGCTTCCAAGCCATGCACGAGGAGAACAACACATAACTATAAACATATTTCTCTTTCCATTAAAGCCCGAATCATGTTTATAATAATTATTACTACCAGCACACGGCCAGTGCCTCCCAGCCCACCATTCTGGGTCAAGAATTAGAGGCTGTTGATACCCACAGCCCCTCAGCAACCTGGTTCCAACCCAGAGGTTTTCGAGGAGCAAATCTGTCTTGCTGCTGAGCCATGCCCATTTCATTGGCACTTCAACTTATCTAACCACAGGAGCAGCTTGGCCAATGACAAATTACACTGTTTATACTATTAACAGCCCTGGATGAGCATATCTCTTCCAAGAAACCATGAGCACTTACAAAAGCTGTCTTTTTACAGCAAGGAAGAAAGCCAATGCAAAAGCAGAGCATGTGGCTGCCAGTTATAATTGAAATCATTTTAATAATTCATGCCTCATTACCTTGCCACATGGCAGTTCAAAGACCATCTCCTAATCCTTTAACCCTTCTCTCCTGCATCCTTTGGTTTGGTTTCTTAGTTTAATCAGTGAGGAAACAAAATGGGGAATGCTCATCAGCACTTGCCCATGGGGACAAAACCCAATGGGGGCTGGTGAGTCTAAGCTCTTAATCCCTTTCCTCCTGCCCTCCTTGGTTTCCTGATTTGATCTCTCACTGCCAGCTGAAGCAGTAAAGAAATTAATAAACTCTCCATTAGATATGCCGAGCTGTTGGCTGAAGCTGGAATTGCTTTATGGAGTCTCTTGGTCCAGCACTAAGGACAAGGGGAGCTCTTGTTATTTAGCAGCTTTATATGGCCAGGTAAGAATTGCTGGAAGCAATTGTGTCCTTCATCCTGTGACTCCTCCTAGGATTTTTCCAGCTTTCAGTTGTCCTCTGGGTAGTCAGTCCCACAGCCATGCCCTTTCTCCTTAACAGAATTGCAATTTGAAAGCCAAGATACCAGCACATAATATTTTTTCATGGTTTTGAAGCTTTCCTGTTGCCCCCTTGGCCATCAAGGGAGAGAGCACCTGATATCTATTTATTCTCATGGTACTACGTGGGCAGATTGCAAACAATAAAGTAAGATCTAATGTTATTTATGGCTACAAGTATGGTCCTGTTCTCTCATGAAAAGGACATAACCTTGTAAAAACACATTCATTTTCAGCACAGTGTGTATTTACACACAGGAAGGGTCCCTCCTTCACCAGTTCAACTCAATGTGGGTGAGGGAAACCAAACCACGTACACACAAACATGCACCGACATGTGCAAAATGAGAGTGCTAGCAGGAGATTTCAACAGCAGCAGAGACTATCATTCTATCATTTATAAGTTATTACTCAATCTGCTCCAGCAGGCAGGTACACAGAGCTGGAGATAAACCCAGCCTGCTGAAAGCTTGCAGCACAAGGAGCAGCACGAGCTCTGTGCTGTTGTCACCTCCCCTCCAGCACGGCACAAACCCCATCTCAGCAGCTGAGACAAACCATTCCCTGCTCCAGCTCCCACCTCTCCACACAGGGAAGGCTTTGGAGGAGCTGCTGGCAGGGGTGGAGAGAGCCCTCAGGCTCCAGCTGCAGGGAGTTTTTGTGCCCACTGCTTTTGGTTTGGGGTCCTGGGGAACAGATCTGGGTCCCCCAGCAGCAGAGCCAGCACAGAGGCAGCTTGGGGAACGTTTCAAATACACACAGAAGTCAAGCCTCAGGGGATGGAAACCTGCCCAGCTCCAGTGGCATTAGGAGAGGAGATTTATCCCCTGCTTTTTTAAGTCTATCACAAAGGTTTCTCTGTTGAACACGGAGCCATTCCCACCATCCCTGCACAGGCAGAGGGGATGATTCACCTGCTCCCTGTATGAAGGGCTTATCAGAGGAGTTGCTGCGCCTGTGGATGGTCTGGATTAGAGTGTGTGGGGAGTCCCCCGTGCCTTTTCCCAGGCTGGATGAATGCCTAGCAAGAAAAGGGATCTTTGCAGGGAATTTATTAGGCAGCCTGAGCAGCACTCCAGAAGCTCTGTGTTACCTTTGAAGACCTAAAATAAAATCTATTGACAGATCACTCTACCTGCAGGGAGAGAACAAAGGTGATCAAACACAGGTTTCTTTAATGGATAAGCTCTGAGCCAAAGCCCTCTCCATTCAACAGGGAAAAGAGGACAATGAGTGTGACTCATGACAGAGCTGTGTGGGTGATGTGCTGCCCACAGGCAGGATGCTCTGCTGATGAGGCCATTTCAACCATTAGACCCCATCCAACATGTCATGCTGCTCTTAAATGTTGCAGAACCAAGGTGCCCAAGTGGGTTTTTGCCCTCAGAGTACCAATAATAATTCTTAATTCCCCTTTTCTATCACTACTTACATTAACAAGCACTGTCCAGTGACAAAAAATGTTAAGGTTTTCAAGTACCATCAAATTGGATTTTCCAGTTTGTAGGAGAGGAAAAGTAAAGGTCACAGTGATCATTACAGCTGTCTTCTTATTCAAAGCAGAGCACTTTAGAGAAGAGTTTGGCCTCACTTCTAATCAGCATTCAGTACTGAAGAGCTTGAGGCTCTTCTGGTCTGGGCAAAGGGCCAGAGAGTGACTCTGAACAGAAAAAGTAAGCAAAGTCTACTCTAATATCACTGAGCAAACCAGGTGAAATACAAAAAAATAACTCCATTAAAGCACAGAGCTCTAATTCAGTTTTCTGAATTTCAGTTTCTTTCCCCGTAACAAGATTAGGAATGACAGTAAAACAGGCAAGACACTGATCTTGAGTTTGGTGTTTAAGGAGGATAAAAACGGTGCCTTGGAGAAAATGCTGCCAACACACAGCAGAACTCAAAGGATCAGAACAGAGCTGTGGATCACGGAAAGAATCAGAGCAGCAGTCCAAGAATTTCCACAGCCGTGTTCTGGACTGCTCTGAAAGATTACCTGCTCCTAAATTCATCCTCTCTGAGAGCTGGCTGCTGATCCCTTCTCAATTCCCAGGCACACTGCACCCTTCAGTCTCCATCCAGCTTTTTACAGCTGAATCTCCTCCAGCTCTTCCCTTCCAAACCCATGTTAAAGTCTTTTAAGGCATCCCAAGCATTATCCAGTTGAACACAAAGCTGACCATGTCCCCCCTCCCTCCCTGGCCATCCCTTCCAGCCACGCTGCCAACTTCCAGCACATCCTGGCCATATATTTAGTCTGCAGTAATTTGCTTTGCATTGTCTTGTGCGGGGTCCAAGCGCAGGAATTACATATCCAGTGAGGCATCCAGCACTCTGGGAAACCCTGGAGCTTTGGAGACTCAACTCCTCATGCTGCTGCCAGAGGTTGAGAGACCTCGTGGTCCAGAGTTACTCAGAGGAGCTGAATGGCAGCTCGGGGAGACAATCCTAAATCCCTGTCTGTGTGTGCTGGCAGAGTGTGTGGAGTAGGGTGAAGGTTGTCATTAACCTGATTCAGGGATCAGGGCTGTGGGCATGGGGTGAGGGTCCTTGGCAGTCCTGCCTGCCAGGGCACAGTCACGGGCACGTCATGGCAGAGAGGCTGAGGCACAACAGCCACCACAGCATCCTTAAAATGGCAGAAAAACTCCAGCTGGCAAAAAACCATTTCCAACTCAGGCTCCTTCACTTTGTTTGGAAGGAAAGATTGGATAGGGGAGCTTGGTTGGATAGGAACACTTGGAGGCCAATGGCTGTGAGGCACCTTCTCCTAAGGAACACAAAGCTTCTCATTTGTCTGCCTTTAAAGGGGACAAAACTCATCTGTAACTGAACATCTGGGCCAAGCAGTGCCACCAACCTAAGGCTGGAGCTAAAGCTGTCGGACCAAAGCAGACCAAGAGCCTTGAGGAAGCACCTCAGTGAGCCAGCAGAGCACCAGGCTGCACTGAGGCCCCACACCAGTCCAGGGGGATGGGAGAGGCTGGCACAGCAGGGTGGAGCAGC